GTCATCGCTGTCATTAGATTATCCTTTTAAGTTAAAGCGCTATTTATCTCTTGAGTGGGTCTATGAGACCGAAGAAGTTAGATTAATGTGTAAACAATAAAGTATTCATCTATCCATCTATCTATAGATACCTAATACAACCCCAACCAACAACTTTAATTTGTTTTTTCTGCTGAAACCACTAATAAACCTTAACACTACAAAACTGGCGTTAATAATACACATTACAGTGAACCAATCCCGTCGGCAAATTGAAACACGAAACGCCTGCACTTTGTGTAATAGAGTTCTCCTGCAACGTACAAAAATACAGTGCAGTTGAAACTCTGCCAGGCGTTTGATTAAACTACTAGGCTCCTGGTGGCTGGTAGTCGGTAGGAATTGTGCAGGGTAGTTGGAAGGCTACGGCGGAGGTAGGTGCAGCTGCGACTTCTTATGCCACAGTTACGTACTGTTTGAAAACATAGGTAAAGTTATTCTGTGGTTTCAATCTCTCGTCGTGTGGGACACCGAGACGTCCTATGAACTGATGAACCTTGGAATCAGAGTTGTAAAACCGGGAAGCATATTTTTTCTGCAGAGCATTTGCATTTGCATTGCACTATGATAGTGTAATACTGTGGCTGAAGTCGGTAAGTTAATTTAGGTTGTAGACTAAGTAGATGGACTATACGAAGTGTTAGGGACGGTGTAACGAAAACTTTGCAGGCATGATCAGACCATCAAACTTAACAACTTTTACTATGGAGCGAATGGTGGGAAACGAAAAAAATTTTCCGACCTCCCATACAAAATTCACGATCAGCTGACTGACTTTGTATGGGAGGTCGGTAAATTTTTTTCGATTCCCACCATTGGTTCCATAGTATAGATGTAAGCCCGGTTTAAAACCAATTCAACCAAATCGTTTTAAACGAAAAAAACCGTTTTAAATCATAAACAACCGTTTTTTTCGGTTTAAAACGGCGGATGGTTGATAACAATGTTTTATTGATTTTAATACATTTTCGTAATATTACAAAGGTAAGGATCACTGAAATGGATTAATGATGTGATTTTGCGGGTTTATTACCTAGTTTGTCGCTCCGAGGCCCGAGCGTAGGTAACCTATGATGAGCAAGTCAGTGTAAAATCGTTGGAAACACCGAATTTTGTATATACAGGGTTATATTAATAATTTGGATGTTCCATACAAAAATTCATACCTAAGTACCTACTCGGCAAAAATTTTTTTGCATTTCGGCACGATTTTTCTACAACGGCCCTGAAATATTAGTCAGACGTGGCGATAGCGTCTGTATTGTAGGTACCTACGGCTGTTTACGCTCTGCCTACCCCGCAAGGGATAAAGGCGTGATTTGTGTATGTATGTATGTGTATGTAAAACACAGAACTTTTTTTTTTGTAGGCGAGTTTTAAACGGTTGAAAACGGTTGATTTCAGGTTTTAAACCGCGAAATTTGGTTTTAAACGTTTTAAACCGGTTGATTTACATCTGTATTCCATAGTAAAAGTTGTTGTGTTTCATGGTCTGAGCACGCCTACATAGTTTTCGTTACACCGTCCCTAACACCCTGTATTATAAACATTGTTTCGTTTACACAAATCGTCTCTACAACTAAAAGAGTTTCGTTCGCATATCATTAACACAATATGGGACAGTGTGTTTACACTGCACACAGTTTCCACTTTCATTTCATTTTCAATTCAAATGTTACGAGAAAACGAGTTCGCAGTCGGGGCTAAAGTTTAAACTTTTCAACTTGGACTTACTAATTAGACCAATTAGTTGCTCTACCTAGCTACCTATATCATCTTTTCTTCTCTAGTCAAGTAAAATAATAACATAACAGAGTCGTAGTAATTACTTATCTACAGGTGAAAAAAATCAACTGCAAATATTTTAAGGCGTGAACAAGCCCAAGAAACTGATCAACTTTCCCCTAGGAACATAGCTCGAAATATGAAAAAGCTATTTGGGCCTCCCATACAAACTGACTCAGTCGACTCTGGTAGGTAGGTACATTTTATATAGGGTGTAATTTTATTAGTGGCGGATCCGTTAAGGGTGTGTTCTGTCAATGCAACTGAACAACTTTCCCCAAGGAACATAGGTCGAAATACGAAAAAAAAATTTGGTTTTCCCATACTAAGTGTGTTGGCCGGCCAGATCAATTTGTATGGGAGGGCCAATTTTTATTTTCATATTTCGGCCTATGTTCCTTGGGGAAAATTGTTCAGTTTCATTGACAGAACACACCCTTAACGGATCCGCCACTAATAAAATTACACCCTATATGGGAGGTCAAAAACTTTTTTTATATTTCGACCTATGTTTCTTCGGGAAACTTGTTCAGTTTCATGGGCTGGTTCATCCCTCAAAATATTTGCTGTTGATTTTTTAACACCTTATATTTCACAAACTGTGAAAGTTCATTATCTCTGCAAGCAATCAGAACGGAACAATCCTGGGCTGTTAACACCCGCGCGCCGCTCTGCGTGCAGCACGGCAGTTAACACGGAACCGAATCAAACTTGCCGCGCATTAACACTCGCCGCGATTACCATCACACCCACCCCTCCCGAGGCTATTTCACTACGCTGCTGCCGACAAGGGCCATGTTTACATTGCTGGTTATCGTATGGGCGCCATTATAATCAACTCAAGATAGCCAGCTATGTACGACAAAAATTAGTCAGGGCTGGGTTAGCGAAACAGCCACTTTTCACCCCCACAACAGACCAGCTGCTGCAAGGAATCTCATGCGTTATTTCACCCGCCTTGCCCTGATAACCGATTATTTTGCTGCTTATCGTATGGACGTCGTTACAATGAACTCAAGACAATCAGCTACGTATGCCAAATCCAATGTCGAGGAAGGGCATGTAAATTAGCCCCTTCACACTTCCTTAGGGCACAATTTGCTCAAACATAGCGATTATTTATACTGGCGGCATTTCATTAAAACTTTTGACCAACTTATTGGCATAGAGTTTTTATTTAACTGAAAGTACCGACATACCTGAATATAATTCGCCAAAAGTTGACCGAATGCTTTGCGGATAATATTTTTGGTGAAGCAGGAGCAAAGCAATTAATAATTTAAAGTTTGTAAATAAGTTCACATTCTGTACCTACCTAACTTTTAATAGTATTTTAAATTTATACACGCCGACATAGTTGACTATCCTATAAGTTTTTACCCGACTGCCTCAGAAGGAGGGTTATGTTTTTCGAGAGTATGTACTATGTAAGTATGTATGTATGTGGACAAGAAAATTCTTTTTCACGGGCTACAGCCCAAACGGATTGCTGGATTTTGACATATGAGGTGTCGTTAGATTCGTCTCAGCAGAGTGACACTGGCTATATTAAAAAATTATAGATTCAAGATGGCGGATTTTTACAGCAAAATACTATTTTAAAATTACCGCAGTGGGGTTTTTTGTTTTTTAACACACCTACTTGTTCACTCATCCAATAGCTACAATAAATTGCTAAGCTAACGTAGCAGCACAGTCAATGTTAAGTCGAACATTATCCAAAATGTGACATTCGTTATCTCCAAATCATTTTCGCTTAGGAATTTGAGTCAATAAATATAAACAGAATTAAAATTAAACAGCACTTTATTTCTATTTACATAGTTATCAACAGATCCACACACAAACTGTGCGACTTGACAATCCATTCTAATACTCATTTAGCAAGTTAAACCAAGTCAAACTATTCTCAGACGATTATCACACCAGGGTTCATCGGGTCGTTGGACGACTCGGTGTCCCACACGAAGAAAGAGATCTTACTAAGTCATTCCATCATAGTGTTTAACTTGCTAAACCAGCTTTCATTTAGGTATATCTTTTATTGTGATTCGAACATAAGCTTATCTTATCAGCAAAGAATTCATTCAGCTTACATTTAACATAAAATATTTTCATTTAGGAATGAGTGGTTGACATGAAAACAAATAAACTTTTTTTTCAAAGTTTGGCTTAAACTCTGGAGTCTTGAATTCATATAACCAACAGTATTTCATTAATTTCTTATTCAGAACTAGACATTATCCATAGTAACTTTGGTAAGAAGTGTGCAGTATTGGTGTCAGAAGTTTCATCGCTTTCATCCATTTCTACCGACCATTAGTGATAGTGATAGTAATCGATGGTACTTCTGATTTGGACACCAATGGATTTTGCTGACACACTAAGTTTATCGGACCTGACATGTACATACTAATGTGAAGCCCGAAAGTAAAGTTTATCTGGGTACTTCATGCTATAGCATTATTATAAATATGTCTGTCAGATCAGGCCTTTTGAATTGGTCAACTGTAAGTCATTTTTTTGCTCTAATATTTAAAATCTTTCTTTCCTATAGATTACTTATTAGGTGCGTCCACATCAACCGAGGCTGCTCGCTGCCTCGCGCGGCAAACGACCGAAATATTTTCGTGGCTAACGCGCGCGAGCCGAGCCAAAAATCAACGCGCCTTAGAAGTTTGCCTATTAATTCATTAGGCGTCCAAATTGGGCCGAACTTGGCTCGCCTGCGCACGATCGTATGCCTCGCGAGGCAACGAGCACCCGAGCAGCCTCGCTTGGTGTGGACGCGCCTATTTATCATTATATTGCCTATCCTACTCCCAACGGCTCCGCTTGCCGCTCTTGCGCACCCGCTCGCTGCGCTGTTGCTCGCTCTGCTGGCTTGGCTCGTGCTGCTCGCTCGCGTTGGCGGGGGCGTTGACCCCGGGCTGGATGGACGACGTCATCGTCTGCTCCCACGAGTGGTCCGACGATGCTGTGAACTAAGTGGAAAAAAGTGGGATAAAGGTTAATGGAAATTGTTCATATAGTCGAGTTAGTTCAGAGACAAGTGCGGCGCAGTGGTAGTGCGTCTGCTTAATGACTATTATAGCAGCAGATTAGTACTTTGCTCTGATATTAATTTGTATGTTTCTATTATTGTTAATATCAACGAAACATGTGGAAAAAATCCACTCCACCGATGAGATTCGAACTCACGACCACGTCTTCCGGAAACCGAGTCAGACGTGTTTACCGTTACACTACGGAGGCTCTACCCGAGGTGGCAAAATTGTGAACCACTTGTTTCGTTCATATAGTTGTTATATTTTTTGTTACTTGACTACTTACGAGTAGCTTTAGCGCCATCAATGACTTTGTAGTAGAACGATACAATCACTCAACTAACAAAATTACGTATTTGTTTCTGTTTATATCCTTGGCAACCCAATACCGAGAATCCTAATGAGGGTTATGAATATGATGGTATACATATATTCACCTAAAGAAAGTTATACATGGTTTGTTTGTATAGAAATGTTGTAGGTACCTGGTTGTACTGCGATCTGAAGGCATTCTTCAATGAGGACAGTCGGTCGGTGGCGGGACCGGCCACTTTTTCCGTGTGAACGCTGGACGAGGGCTCTTCGGTATGAGTGGGAAGGCCGGGACGTTCTTTGTAACTGAAACAGAGATATACAATATTAACCACTTTGCGACTATGTGTCCCAGACAGTTGGTACATAATTAAGCACTTGGTTATTTATTTGTTATTTGATTGTTTACTTGGAAATATACGGTCTTAATAAATTGAGCTAAAATATATTTTTAAATAACTAAATTGGGTGTCGGACTGACGGCAATGGTAGCCGACTGTGAGTGATTAGATAACTTAGATGGCCGTCGTTACACAAGCACGTTCATTGTTTTTAGTAGTTCGCCTACTATTGTTTTATTGACTGTCCCGATGGCGTAGTGGATAGTACCCCTGGCCTTTACGCTGATGCTCGTGGGTTCGATTCCTACCGGACACAAATATTAGTATAGTAAATTTTCAAATATTTGTGTTAAGTCTGGGTGTTTTCTATGTATAATATGTATTTATTGACAAAAAAAAAGTATATAAGTATTATATCAGTTGCTTAATTCCCATAGAACAAACTTTGCTTAGTTTGGGGCTAGATAGCGCTGTGTGTCTCGTTCAGGAATATTATTTATAATATTTATTTATTTATTTCATTTCAATAATTTATCAATCACTCTCACCCGAGTCCGCATCCGCCTACGTTCAGATTCTTCCCCTTGCCCTTCTTGAAGCGTGACTTTCTGAACCACGCGGACTGCATCGCCAGCGACATCAGATCTTCAGGCACCTCCTGTCAAAAAAAAATTTATTTATTTATTTTTAGAGCGGTTCGCAACAAAATCTTTGATATTGCGTTTATTGCATACGTAGTACATGTATCTTTGCTGTCAAACAAAGTGTACTGAAACGACTTAGAGTGATCTTTGTAGTAGTAACTCATAAAAGTGGCTACATGTGAACGACAAACCACACCAAGCGAGGCTGCTGGCTGCTGTAGCCAAATTCAACGCGCCTCAGAAGTGTGGCTATTAATTTATTAGGCGTCAAAATAGAATCGAACTTGGCTCGCATGCGCAGGAGCGTATGCCGCGCAAGGCAATGAGAACCCGAGCACTCTCGGGCAGTGGTCAACTTATGTCCTGGGACACACGCGCAAGCGAGACGGGCTTAGTGCACCTGCTGCGCGCCCTCCAGGTTGCGCACGAGATGCCCGGCGAACTCCCTGTCCTTGTCCCTCGCTACTAGAGTCCACGCGCTCCCTCTCACTCCCGCGCGACCAGTGCGACCCACTCTGTGCGTGTGTGTGTGTGTGTGTGTGTACCTGCTGCGCGCCCTCCAGGTTGCGCACGAGATGCCCGGCGAACTCCCTGTCCTTGTCCCTCGCTACTAGAGTCCACGCGCTCCCTCTCACTCCCGCGCGACCAGTGCGACCCACTCTGTGCGTGTGTGTGTGTGTGTGTGTGTGTACCTGCTGCGCGCCCTCCAGGTTGCGCACGAGATGCCCGGCGAACTCCCTGTCCTTGTCCCTCGCTACTAGAGTCCACGCGCTCCCTCTCACTCCCGCGCGACCAGTGCGACCCACTCTGTGCGTGTGTGTGTGTGTGTGTGTGTGTGTGTGTGTGTGTGTGTGTGTACCTGCTGCGCGCCCTCCAGGTTGCGCACGAGATGCCCGGCGAACTCCCTGTCCTTGTCCCTCGCTACTAGAGTCCACGCGCTCCCTCTCACTCCCGCGCGACCAGTGCGACCCACTCTGTGCGTGTGTGTGTGTGTGTGTGTGTGTGTGTGTACCTGCTGCGCGCCCTCCAGGTTGCGCACGAGATGCCCGGCGAACTCCCTGTCCTTGTCCTCGCTACTAGAGTCCACGCGCTCCTCTCACTCCCGCGCGACCAGTGCGACCCACTCTGTGCGTGTGTGTGTGTGTGTGTGTGTGTGTGTGTGTGTGTGTGTGTGTACCTGCTGCGCGCCCTCCAGGTTGCGCACGAGATGCCCGGCGAACTCCCTGTCCTTGTCCCTCGCTACTAGAGTCCACGCGCTCCCTCTCACTCCCGCGCGACCAGTGCGACCCACTCTGTGCGTGTGTGTGTGTGTGTGTGTGTGTGTGTGTGTGTGTGTGTGTGTGTGTACCTGCTGCGCGCCCTCCAGGTTGCGCACGAGATGCCCGGCGAACTCCCTGTCCTTGTCCTCGCTACTAGAGTCCACGCGCTCCCTCTCACTCCCGCGCGACCAGTGCGACCCACTCTGTGCGTGTGTGTGTGTGTGTGTGTGTGTGTGTGTGTGTGTACCTGCTGCGCGCCCTCCAGGTTGCGCACGAGATGCCCGGCGAACTCCCTGTCCTTGTCCCTCGCTACTAGAGTCCACGCGCTCCCTCTCACTCCCGCGCGACCAGTGCGACCCACTCTGTGCGTGTGTGTGTGTGTGTGTGTGTGTGTGTGTGTGTGTGTGTACCTGCTGCGCGCCCTCCAGGTTGCGCACGAGATGCCCGGCGAACTCCTGTCCTTGTCCCTCGCTACTAGAGTCCACGCGCTCCTCTCACTCCCGCGCGACCAGTGCGACCCACTCTGTGCGTGTGTGTGTGTGTGTGTGCGTGTGTGTGTGTGTGTGTGTGTGTGTGTGTGTACCTGCTGCGCGCCCTCCAGGTTGCGCACGAGATGCCCGGCGAACTCCCTGTCCTTGTCCCTCGCTACTAGAGTCCACGCGCTCCCTCTCACTCCCGCGCGACCAGTGCGACCCACTCTGTGCGTGTGTGTGTGTGTGTGTGTGTGTGTGTGTGTGTGTGTGTGTGTGTGTGTGTGTGTGTGTGTGTGTGTGTGTGTGTGTGTGTGTGTGTGTGTGTGTGTGTGTGTGTGTGTGTGTGTGTGTGTGTGTGTGTGTGTGTGTGTGTGTGTGTGTGTGTGTGTGTGTGTGTGTGTGTGTGTGTGTGTGTGTGTGTGTGTACCTGCTGCGCGCCCTCCAGGTTGCGCACGAGATGCCCGGCGAACTCCCTGTCCTTGTCCCTCGCTACTAGAGTCCACGCGCTCCCTCTCACTCCCGCGACCAGTGCGACCTACTCTGTGCGTGTGTGTGTGTGTGTGCGTGTGTGTGTGTGTGTGTGGTGTGTGAGGCTGCGCACGAGCTGCCCGGCGAACTCCCTGTCCTGGTCCCTCGCTACTAGAGTCCACGCGCTCCCTCTCACTCCCGCGCGACCAGTGCGACCCACTCTGTGCGTGTGTGTGTGTGTGTGTGTGTGTGTGTGTACCTGCTGCGCGCCCTCCAGGTTGCGCACGAGATGCCCGGCGAACTCCCTGTCCTTGTCCCTCGCTACTAGAGTCCACGCGCTCCCTCTCACTCCCGCGCGACCAGTGCGACCCACTCTGTGCGTGTGTGTGTGTGTGTGTGTGTGTGTGTGTGTGTACCTGCTGCGCGCCCTCCAGGTTGCGCACGAGATGCCCGGCGAACTCCCTGTCCTTGTCCCTCGCTACTAGAGTCCACGCGCTCCCTCTCACTCCCGCGCGACCAGTGCGACCCACTCTGTGCGTGTGTGTGTGTGTGTGTGTGTGTGTGTGTGTGTGTGTGTGTGTGTGTGTGTGTACCTGCTGCGCGCCCTCCAGGTTGCGCACGAGATGCCCGGCGAACTCCCTGTCCTTGTCCCTCGCTACTAGAGTCCACGCTGCTGCGCGCCCTCCAGGTTGCGCACGAGATGCCCGGCGAACTCCCTGTCCTTGTCCCTCGCTACTAGAGTCCACGCGCTCCCTCTCACTCCCGCGCGACCAGTGCGACCCACTCTGTGCGTGTGTGTGTCGATGTCGCGCGCTACAGTGTAGTTGATCACCGTGCGGATGTGCGGGATGTCCAGACCGCGGGCTGGAAAATGGTAAGGAGCTTATTAGTACATTGCATACTCGGGAAGAAAGGAACCGATTAGTAGGAGAGCCCAGCTGAGGCCCCAATACACACGAGTTTATAATCGGACCTTCTTCCAAGTGATACATAGTGTTTTATATGTTTTACCTGCATAGAATTTTATCTGTAGATTTATGAAATGTAACGTGAGTCATTGTATACGTTTCAAATAAACGGGAAATAATAATCCATACAAATCACTTGCCTCGCGTGGGAAAACAGATCCGACTGCCCAAAGACCGACGAGGTAGTGTATTGGCGGCTGCGCATCGCAAAGCGCATCACAGGACAGCTTCCTACCAGTTTGACCGACCGAACATCGACGAACTTGCGAGCAGCTTTCAGATGCATTCGGCCAAGAAGCACGATGAAAAACAGCTGAATGTAACAAACCTGCAACATCAGTAGCGACTAAAATGTTGCACTCCTGTCGTTTGAACGCCGTGATGACTTTATTCCTGTCCGCCTGCTCCATGTCTCCGTGCAGCAACAGGGCATCGAACTCCTGCACCCCGAGGTTGGCTGCCGTTTGTTCCGCGTCCAACTGGCAACAGAAAAAAAAACATGTTATTAAAAAAACGAACGCTTTCCATGAAGTGCCTGATGTGAAATGCATAGCAAAACATTTCATTGATGCAATTTCTCTTCCTTTCTCTAAAAACAAAATTAACGATAAATTTGGATGTTGTTCTAATCATAATCACAGATTACAAGATAGTGTAAAACTTAGTACTAGGATAAGCAGAAGAAGTGTTGATAGAGACAGACGACCGAAGCGATTATAGAAGTAGTAGGTATGTTGATCAAC